GACGAGGCCTATTTTGTGTTGGTTGCAAACTGGGAAATTCAGGCAGTTCCACAGCGTCAGTTGGTTGAGTGAGCCCAGGCCCTGCCTGCCTTTTTCCAAATGTATCTGAGGCGGGCCCTGGGCCAGACACGGGGCATGAACTGAACACAGGCCGCTTGGCAGTTGGACACGGGTAACCACCCCAGGCCCTGCAGAAGATTCCCTGGGACAGGGGCTCAGCCACTTGGGGCCTACCTGAAGCTTCCGGGCAGAGGCCCAGGCCAGCCAGGCAGCCCACGACTGGCAGCCACTTTTCATAAAGGAAAGGGCCTGGCCGCTGGCTGTACATTCGGGCACCCGCTGCTTCTGCGCAAGCGCTGCTGCACCAGCTGCTTAAGCGAGTGCCTACTCGCTCACAGCTGAGCAGGGTGGACGCAGGCAGCCATAGCCGGGCTGGCCTGCACATTGCTGGATGACATGCATGGTGGTCTTCGGGTGCATGTCGCATCTGCGTGGAGGATTGAGGTTGTGAGTGAAGCGGGGACATACCTGGTGCTTGATGCGAATGCCTTCGGCCAAGATCAGCTCGTACTTCGGAAAGCTGTTGACGGGTGGCATTGTAGATAGGCTAGATAGGATCTGCCATGCGTAGTCTGGGCGCTGAGCGGCAGATAGGGGAACGACATTGGTTCATTGGTGATGACGACAAGACCATTCCAACATTGTCATTTGTGAGCTCTGCTGTGCTCTTATTTGCATGGTAACCGCCCGGATGTCCGGACCGGGTTCCAGACAGTCCGGTGTCCGGTGTCTGGCGTCCGGTGTCCAGTGTCCGGTTCCCATGTCTGGATGGAGGCCCCTGGGGCAAAAATAAAAAAAAAGAAAGGGGCGGCCCAGGACGTTTGTCGGGTCCTAGCGGCCCCTCGAAAAATAACGGGGTGATTTTTAAGTGTCCTTTCACCCCACCGGACATGGCCTAGAGGTCCAGACACAAGACACTGCTGGTTTTTGAGGTGGCGGGTTTCGCACAGGCCCGAGCAATTTCAAAGCGGCCGTTTCGACG